CACACATTGATATGTTTAGTTTGTAGATGTAGCTTTGTGGTTAGGGCCATTCTCCTGCTGGAAGGTCAATCTTTTTCCCGGCCTCATTTCTCCTGCTGACTCTTGCAGGTTTTCTGTATTTGTCTCCGTCCCATCTTCCCAGCTTTTCTTACAATCTTCCCAGTCCCCGCTGAAGAAAAGCAGCCCCATAGCATGATGCTCCCCCCTGAATTTGACACTGGAGATGGTGCAGACAGGACGATGAGCAGGGTTATCTAGGCGCCAATCAAACCTTGGTGAATTATTATTATTATTATGAAGGATAAAGCTATGTCCTGAGGCACGGTCAACACAGGTCTACACACTGGACTTCCTGTTCCTGTTTACACTTGCCGGTGTGTACACTTGCTGGTGTTATTCTTACTTGCAGTAATTCTGCTGCATCTGAATCCTAGTAACATTATTGCCATTTGCCATTGGAGCATTATTTCGGTGGTCTGGAGCTGAGGCCACGGATTATGCCTCCAAAACCTAAACCAGCAGAGGAGGACTGCAATGTTAGCGTTAGCATGCTAACTGCTATGCTTGAACAGCAGAAGGACTTCTACAGGGATTTGATTAAGCAACAGCAAGATAATTTCAAGTCATTTGTGCAGATGATGATGGACAACACTAATATAAGACTGGATAGCATCGTGAAAGACTTGCATGATGTCAAGGTGAGTCTGCAGTTCACTGATGGTGTCGTAAATGACCTCCGTGCTGAGGAAAAGCGCACTATTTCGAAGTTGGCTGCGTTTGACATTGAAATTAACAGCACTCGCAGCGATCTGAAAGTGCTGTCCGAGAGATTGGAATATTTTGACAATCAGACGAGGAGAAATAACATTCTTGTGGATGGGATCACTGATGAACGGGAGGACAAACCCGAGGCTTTGGAATCCAAGATCCGGCAACTAATTACAACAAAGTTGTGCCTGGACAGTGTTGACGTTGCAATGGATGGTGTTTCCCGTCTTGGACAATATAGAGACCAGGGCAGGCCACGGCCGATCCTTGTCAGACTGCAACGTTTTAAAGACAGACAATGCATCCTTGCAGCTGCACGTAAGCTGAAAGGTACCAATGTTTACATCAATGAGGATTTTACGGACTCGGTCAGAAGGAGGAGAAGATACAATACAATACACAATACAATACAATTTATTCTTGTATAGCCCTAGGTCACAACAGAAGTCATCTCAGAGGACTTAACAAAACCATTGAAATCACCAACACAGGTCAGAGAATCAACAGTTAAAACACATGAAGAATATAAAGCACACACAGAAGAAAATGTCCATACATGTTGTAGAATGCTAAAGTGTCCTGATCATCACCAATCCTTTCTGTTGGACACTAACTGTCCAACAAGACCCTCCTGCATCGACAAGGAAAAACTCTTAAAAAACCCAGTGGGAAAAAGTGAGAAACCTTGGAGGAGAACTAGGGAAACCCACAGGGAGGGAGACCCATATGAGAAAGGGATCCGCTCCTCCGGACGGACAGGCTAATGATCTAGGACCTAAGCTAGCTACAGAACGTGGACCAGAGAGAAGAGAAGAGAAGAGAGCTGCTTCCGCAACTCAAGGCGGCTCGGGAGCGGGGCGATCTGGCTTTCTTGAAATATGATAAACTGATCGTTAGACCAAGGCAACCGCCTGTGTAGGTACATTGATGATTTGGACTAGTATTGATTTTAACTGTCTATAACTTGTTTACATGATGATACATTTACCTGGATATACCTCTAAGGTGTTCTCTATTGCCCACGCCAATATTTGCAGTCTAAGAAACAAAGTCCATGAGATTGAAAATCTACTATTAACAAACAGTTTGTGTATACTCGCACTTTCTGAAACACATCTAGACTGTACGTTTGACAACAGTGCACTTAGAATTGATGGTTATACATTGTACAGGAAGGACAGAGACGCATTTGGAGGAGGCGTTGCTTTGTACATTAAAGACACTGTTAATGCCAAACTACGCCCTGATCTAATGCAACAAACCATAGAAAATATATGGGTTCAGATACAACCTCTCTATGGAAAACCAGTCTTAGTTGGGTGTATCTATAGACCACCAAATTCAAATGTATTTTATACTGACAACATTTGTGATATGATGAGTAAAATATCTGAGGAAAACAAAGATTTATTCTTATTAGGAGATATGAACATAAACTGGCTAGATATGAAATGCCCAATTAGGAAGAACATTTTTTCATTATGCTCTGCGTGCAATTTACACCAATTAATCATGGTTCCAACAAGAGTTGGGACCTATGCTGCAGGCGTTACATCTTCTACTTGTATTGATCATATTTATACAAACGTGCCTAAATCCTGTAACGATGTCATTTCGAAACCTGTTGGTTTTAGCGATCACCATCTTGTGGCTGTGAATAGGAAAATTAAACCTCCAAAAGGTGTACCTAAGATTCTTAATAAAAGGGCTTTCAACAAGTTTAATGTTAATGACTTTTTATCTGACCTTGAGAAAATTGATTGGGACGACATCTGCTCTGAACGTAACCCAGAGTATGCTCTGTTCATGTTTAACAATACGTTTTGTCAACTTATTGACCAACATGCTCCACTAAAGAGGAGAACTGTTAGGTCAAACAATGCACCTTGGTTAGATACTGAGTTAAAGGCTGCTATGTCACAGAGAGAGGCTGCTAAGACGACTGCTGTAAAATCGGGCAATCAATTGGACTGGGCTAGGTTCCGTAAATTAAGAAACTCTGTGACTAAATTAAACTTGCTTAAAAAGAGACATCACTATATAAGAAAATTTAGTGAGGTTAGTCATGATTGTAAAATGATCTGGAAAACATTTAATTCACTTACTGGGCGGAATGAAATTTCAACTCCTGGACACATTGAGACTGATAATGGATGCATTTTTAAACCTGATGAAATTGCCAATTACTTTAACCGTTACTACAACGATAAAATACAAAGATTGAAAGCTAACATGAGTGTTGGTGAGTCTGCATCTTCTTCATATATTATTAAAAACATAATCATGGACAATAAGCAATGTGTTTTTGACCTAACTGCTGTCAGTATAGAAAAAGTGCAAAACCTTCTGAGTTCCTTGCCTGAAAACATGTCGGCTGGCCTAGACAATATAGAAGGCAAGTTTCTGAAGCTAGCTGCCAAGTTTGTGTCACGCCCTTTATGCCACATATTTAATAGATGTTTAAGGAGTGGCGTCTTCCCTTCCCAATGGAAAAAGTCTAAAATTATCCCTATACCAAAAAATAAAAACACATTATTTAACGGGGCAAACAGTAGGCCCATAAGCATATTACCTGTTTTAGGGAAAATTATGGAGACGTTAATACGTGACCAAATACAAACATATTTTGTTGACTGCAGCCTGCTGACTAAGTTCCAGCATGCATATAAACCTAATCATTCCACCACTACTGCATTGGTCCATATGATTGACAACTGGTACCAGGAATTAGATAAAGGTGGCTTTGTTGGGACTATATTTTTAGATTTTAGTGCAGCCTTTGATCTTATCAATCATGACCTTCTAATTGCCAAGTTAAGGTGCTATGGACTTTCAACAAGATCGTTGTTTCTTATAAAGGATTATCTAACAGACCGGAGTCAGCAGGTCTATTATAATGGTTCCCTGTCTAAAGAATCTGATATTCACTGTGGCTTACCTCAAGGCAGCTGCCTCGGCCCACTCCTCTTCTCTGTTTACACTAATGATTTACCTTATGTACTAAACAAAACTGAAGTTGTCATGTATGCTGACGACTCGACCATGTATTATTCCAATTCAAATGTGAATGAAATATCAAATGTATTAAAAGATGATTTGGCCGAGGTCCTCAAGTGGGTTAAAAGCAACAACATGATTTTAAATATTTCTAAAACAAGATCTATGCTTGTTGGAAGTAAACAACGTCTACATGAAAAGTGTCAATTAAAATTGACTATGGAGGGAGCCGAGTTAGAACAGGTTGAGCAAATTAAACTTTTAGGTGTTATAGTGGATCACCATCTCTCATGGTCACCGCACATTGACCAGGTGATTAGTAAGATGGGTAGCGCTATTGGTGTGGTGAGAAGGTGTTCTTATTTTGTACCTACAACAATTTTGAAGCAGGTGGTCCAATCCCTCGTTTTATCTAATCTTGAATACTGCCCCATTATATGGTCTGCTGCATGCAACACAGATTTATCTAGATTGCAAGTTGTACAGAACAAGGCTGCAAGACTGGTTTTAAATTGTTCTTATTTTACCAGTATAAACAAAATGCATACAATTTTATCCTGGCCTTTGGTTCACAATAAGCTACAGTATAGCCTTTTAATATTTCTGAAAAAAGCAATACTTACTGGTGAACCAATTTCAATGTTTGAGAAAATCACATATGTACATCAGATTCACTCCCATTCTACTAGGCAGGCTCAAAATGCTGACTTGGTCGTCAATCGGCCCAGAACAAAATCATTGAAAAGGACTGTTATTTTCAGAGCGACTCAACTTTGGAATGAGCTTCCTAGGGAGATGAGAGATCAAACTTCTCTACATATTTTTAAAAGAAAACTCAAATATCAAATGTGCAATGCATCATTATAATGCATGGCTTCATGCCTTGATGCCTTGTGTTGTTTACAGATGCTGACTTGGCAATTGATCTAATTGATCTATTTGATCTATGCTTTTAACATTATGGTAGTGAATTCATGTATTGTATTGAATAATGTACTGTATTAATGAATGTATTGATTTTTTAGTTTTTTTATTTTATTTTATTTTTTGTAATACAGTCGTCTTAACTGGGACCCCAGGAAGATTAGCAACCACTTTGGTGGAAGCTAATGGGGATCCCCAATAAACAAATAAACAAACAAATAAACAAAGTTATATTTTACCATTTGTAGTCCTCACCGCAGTGTGAAAGTAACTGGATCTGTGTAAAAGTATAACGTGTGGCTGTGACGCAGGTGCAGAGCAGGTGGACATTGGGTTCCCTTACAAACAGCCCAGCAGAAGCAAACAGGTCAAAGAACGGATGCAGCGGCTGAAGGAGAACAAGCAGAACGTGGAGCTGGAGAGAGCGGCTCGTCTGCGAACACGTGAGCATCAAACACCTTTTACAAATAAATAGATAAATGTGAAACATGAAATACAAGAGTCAGGGCTGTTTTAAGTAACAAAACAGCAAACAATACCTCATTTTAACACCGTAAGGAAGTTGAAAATGCCCCAAAACTACCACTGATTGTGTGGCTTCCATTTTGCATGAGGACTTGTTTTGCACTGATGAGTATTTGACCCTCTGCTGTTGGCCTTCCCAGTGCAGGTGTCGATGGAGCAGGTGCTTGAGACCTGGGAGCAGACCAACGGGCCCTTCCACATCCGGAGACTGGCAGAACACTACGGCGTCTACAGGGACCTGTTCCCCCGCGCCTTCTTCCTCCCCCTCGTCCCTCTCAGAGTGCGCTACGGTCAGGACGGCGCCGCACACTTCGGGAACACGCTCACACCAACAGAGGTGCGCCTCACTCTGGGTTTGGGCTGATGTCAGTGCGGAGGAAGGACAGGCTTTGATTTGGATCTTCTCTTTCCTCAGACCGCAGCAGCTCCTCAGATCAGCTTTGATGCAGCAGACGGGACTCTGTGGACCCTGCTGCTCACATGCCCAGGTCAGGGACTTAGACTATAGACTTAGATTATAGACTATAGACTTAGACTTAGACTTAGACTATAGACCTAGACTATAGACTTAGACTTAGACTTATACTTAGACTTAGACTTATACTTAGACTTAGACTTATACTTAGACTTAGACTTATACTTAGACTTAGACTTAGACTTAGACTATAGACTTAGACTTGGGTATATAAATAAACATTACTTACTTACTTAGACTATAGACCTAGACTATAGACTTAGACTTAGACTATAGACCTAGACTATAGACTTAGACTTAGACTATAGACCTAGACTATAGACTTAGACTTAGACTATAGACCTAGACTTTAGACTTAGACTATAGACCTAGACTATAGACTTAGACTTTAGACCTAGACTTTAGACTTAGACTTAGACTATAGACCTAGACTTTAGACTATAGACCTAGACTTAGACTATAGACCTAGACTATAGACTTAGACTTAGACTATAGACCTAGACTTAGACTATAGACCTAGACTATAGACCTAGACTTAGACTATAGACTTCGATGTTATCGATCCACAAGGGAAATTGCATTGTCACAGTAGATCGTATAGTATTTCACAATAAAAAAGCATTAAAGTAACAATCTAAAAGTAATAATGAGATAATATTATTTACAGTATAGACTAAGGCCCCGTCCCAATTCTCACCCTTAGGTGTGAGTGCCCTAGGGGCCAATATGGATCTAGGGGACAATATGCAAATGACGCAGCAGACGTGTTCCACGTCACACACATTATTAAAGTGTGTGATTTCACCACAGATGAGATCTGACACAGATATGACTTTATGAAACAGTTTTTACTAAAATGAGACGTTTTTAATTCTATTTCATATGAAGATTTGCTATAATTAGGTACAGAACTGATGCACATCACGCACACAGAGACAGACGCGCACAGACACACATGTACACACACAGGCAGACACGCACACACACAGACACACACAGACGGACACATACACGCACAGAGACAGACGGGTACAGCCGCGGTCCCGTGGATCACAAAGCAAACTGTGTCAAAGCGAAGCTCTGAACTACAACATGGATCTATAACAGGGCTGGACTGGCCATCGGGCGTACCGGGCAATGCCCGAAGGGCCGATGCCCATATATGGGCCGGTCTGTCTGCCTCATACAAAAAACATGTTTGTGAAAAGTGTAAATCCGTTGAGAAATGTCTGAGGGGAGCGCGCGTGTCCGCGGGGCACCTGCTGTATGTACTCGAACGGGATTCCACCACCTCAGCGGCCGCAGTGTTCCCGCATCCAGCGGCTCTTAGCTGGACGCAGGAACCGCTCACAACACAACACGGTGAGCGCGTAGCCGCAACGTGCCCATGTACCCAAGACCATAAACGCGCACAGGACCTTGCATGTCTTTTCGTAATTTGTCCACCCAATAAATACACCGCTGCAGAAAACAGTCCGCGTCTCCCCTCTCCTCTAAATTAAAGCTCGGGTACCTAAATTTTCCATTGCATTAAAAGTTCATGTTTGAGCCCAAAAGTAAAATGTTGTGAACAGATTAAACAGATTTAGAGCCAGCTAATGGCTGAAAATATGCATTTCAGAAATTTTTACCAATCAACCCTGTAACAAACAATAGTATTGTCTGTGTCCACCTCCCTCACTCTGAGACATGTTTATTACTCTGTTTAATGTAGACTATTGTACTTTTATTTTATTGTTGAAACTGCAGACATCCTGATCCTCTACAGTATTTGCTTCTACATACTGTATAAACCAGGGGTCGGCAACCTTTAGTGCCCCTAAAGTGGCTCCTGGAGCCTTTTCAAAAATGTCTGAAAATGGAGTGTGAGGGCTATATTTTATTTCTAGTTTCAATGTGGTTTCTGTAGGAGGAAAAGCATTCTTAACGTTTTTCAATGCTGCAAAAACTTGTATAAGTAATATTCAACTTTAGCACTTCTGTCAACGTATTATGTCATATCCTGTGACGCGGCCCGTGCCAGGCGGCCGCTGCTGTAAACAAACCGGCGTGTGTGCATTATAGACTGTGTGTGCGCATGGATCCCAAAGATGAAGAGAGAGAGTCTATAAGACTGGACTAAGAATGAGTATGAACTAGGGCTGTCAAAATTATCGCGTTAACGCACGTTAATTAATTTTTTTCATTAATCGCGTTAAAAAAATTAACGCATTTGACGCATGCCCATGCGTCCCATAATAACACTCAGAATGCCGCGGACACATGCGCGTGTGTAAGATGGGGACAGAGCAGAGCCCTCTGGGAATTCAGTTTTGAAAGAATACACGCGTGACCGCGGGGCACTTGTTGTTTCCTGTATGAACTCTGCATGAGGAGCTGCGGGCGCCACAGCGCTCTGGACCGTTCCCACTTCCAGCGGCTGTGATCACGGCGAACGGTGCTGCGTAATGGGATCATATCCAAGACCACGCACAGAACTATTACAGAACTATTCTCTAGTGTGCGTACGTGTCTTTGCGTAACCGATGCACACAATATGTACAGCGCTGAAGCTGGACTGCGGAGCCTCAGTCTCCTCCGTGTCTTCTCCCGAAGTGTACTCGCTAAAGTAAAGCTGAGGTACCTAATTTTCCTTTCGACTACCAGTTCATGTTAGTTGTGCCAAAAAAAGTAATGGTGTGAGCAAATCAAACAGATTTAATAACATTCTGATTCAGACTATTTTGAAATGTCCCTCATCTGTAACAAACGATGGTTTTGGTCTGAGTCTAAACAGAAAGACAGAATGTTAATAATGTTAATTCCATTTTATATGGATTTATTGTTATAACAAACAAATACAGTGAATATGTTCACTAAGCTGTCATTTATCTTTCCATTCAAACAACAATTTACAGAAAAATATGGCATAATTTTGCCAATAGTTTGAAATGCGATTAATTACGATTAATTAATTTTTATGCTGTAATTAACTCGATTAAAAAAATTAATCGTTTGACAGCCCTAGAATGAACATTTTCTTTCAGTCAATGAGGAAGGACTGCTTCATGTTTGCGATGTAATGAAAAGTTTTGTTGCAAGAGGAGGAACAATGAAGCTTTAAACACGTTCACTGAAAGATTCATTCATCATAAAGTCAGAGAACCTATGTTCAGACTTCAAATACCTTCGCAAAGACGGTGAAAGAAAAGGCCATTAAGGACATTCAGCTCCAGCAAACTTCAGCCTGTGATGGATATGAACAGACAGTGATGCAGGTGAACTCGGAGCCAAAAAGCAGATTTATTTACTGTATTTGTACAATTGCATGAAGGCAAAAAAATGGAAGTTAAACTAAAGCAGAGTTGTCACGTGGTGCGTCATTCTCTCCAGGACACGCTGCAATGAAAATACACATTTGATAATCATGAATGGTTTTTATGTGTTTAGCCTTTACTTTGTCATTTAGATATTAGGCTAATATAGCTAATGTAGCTAATGTAGCTAATACAGCTTCAGTCCCTGTGTAGGGTAACTACTTATATTGCTGATTATGTTATAAATTTAGTAGTGTGGAGCGGCTAGTCTCCGGATTAGGAACTCGCCGTTCCACCAATGGATCTGTCTTATTTATTTTGGGCACCAGCAGACGGTTGAGAGTCTACAACAGAACCAGGATATTTGCCTCGATATCAGTCTTATGAATCTAATGGGTTGAGTACGAAAGATCTGCCAGGGATTTCCTGTATTTATAAACACGACGCTCGGGAATGGAATTACAGTGTTAACATGGTTTTATTGATTACAAAGTGGGATAAAAATATAACGAAAAGGGATTTCTGGTCACATTAAAAGCAGGAGTTGTACACATATCATTCAAATCGCACATTTAACGGGAACAGTCTTACTTTGAGCCGTTCAGAGGGAGATGGGTGACTGGGATGAGGATGGAGTGGAGGATGAGAATGAAGAATAGGATGGAGGCGATGTCTCGTCCACGTGGTCTTTGTTCGAACAGGGAGCAGGAGGAAGCCGGCAGGTCGGGTCCAGGCGTGGGTTCCACACACGACACGGTCTAGAATAGCGTTGTGGTGGGGTGGTCCAAGGAGCCCGAAAGTGGCGATAGAAGGTCCTCGTCTCCGACAGCGAGAGGGGTTGCTGTCCTCGTGGATGTACAGGCCCGAGATGGTGGCGGGCGTAGGCCGTGTAGGGGACACGTACCAAACGGGATAGTTGTTATGATGAATTCGGGGAAAACAAGAGAAAGTACAATGGCGTGGCGAGAGCTTATATGGACTTCTGAAGGGGGCGTGTCCATGCCTTCCCTCTCTGTGGACACGACCCTTCACAACGGACAATTTTGCAAAGGAAACACACAGGATTGGTGCGAATGATCACAACACATGTACAAACACACAGTGCATTTACATCACAGACATTAAACACACGAGTAAGGTCCGTAACGTTAATATCATTGAGTAATGTCCCCTTTGACTGTTCGTCTTGGGTGCGGTAGCGTCCAGTGTCCGCTAAGGAGCGTCAGAGGGCCGCGGGTGGACCCCTTGGTCCGTGGAATGCATTGTGACAATGCTGATTTGTATCAGCTCCTCTGTTAACATGAAAAAGGCACCAGATGGGTATCCCGCTGTTTTATGGGTCCGTCTGGCGTCTGCAATCCTCATGCTCCTGTGGCTGAACCCCATGGTTCCCTTGAAGTTGCGGTGAGGCATTATCTCCATTTGGTCACTGGGTCACAGAGAAGACAGGCCCGGCCGGCCCTGTCCTCCGTTTTAACCTTACACCTGTTACCTTCATATAAGCCTTATACAACGCTGTTTGTTTTTTGCGGCTCCAGACAGATGTTATTTTTAGTTTTTTTGTTAAATATGGCTCCTTGAACCTTTTGAGTTGCCTGGGCCGCTAAAAAGGAAAAAATGCCCGGGCCGTTTTTTTGTCCCAGTCCAGCCCTGATCTATAATAATAACGTGCACCACGTCTCTGAAGCCTCAGTGAACGGCACTCGCTGCAGCCGCTTCGGGAGCGAACGTCACCGCACACGGCACCAACACACGCTTTAAAACTAACTCGCACACGCGTTGGAGCTTGCTCATGTTCCGCACGTTGTTTTTTTATGTTATTTTTTTTCATTGTGACGCGGCTTTGCCCGACTGCTGCTTTACCAACAACTCTCGTAATGCATCATGGATCACCCTCGCTCGCAAGTGAGCTCCGGACCTCCGGAAGTATTGGGACACCCTTCCACTCCCGCGGGCATGCGCAAACTCTAGGGCAAGTGTGCTTTTTAAGGGCAAGGGTGAGAATTGGGACGTGGCCTTAAGCTGCGTTTAAGACTGAGCAAGAGTTAATTAAGACTGGCTTAGACGGTTCTTTTGATAAAACAAAGAAGTGTAAACAAGTCTACCACTGAAACATGTCAGGTAATTAACCAGAACTGGTCTTATCAAACCTTGAACCTTCTAACCATTAAAGGTATATAGAGGATTTTCACACATTTTGGAATGAACCGCTCTCTTGTAAATGTCTCCATCGTGAGATCAATAAAGATTATCTTATCTCCAGAGGGAACGCCTACTAAAGCGCATGTGAGAGACGTGCACGCCCTGTTCACTGTCGGCCTCTTCAGTTTATTGTTTGTCACATACACGTTACATGCAGTTACATTATTACACTGTATGTACCTCCGGCAGATGTACAGGACAGTATTCAGAACACACAACAACAGAAGAACACAGAAACAGAGTTAGGCCCTCTCTACACAATCTTAGTTTCCAAGAAGATTTTCACTTTTTACACCATGTCAGTCAGACAAAAGAGACGCGGAAAACTTTTACTATGAATGATTTGATTCTCCAAATATAAGGAACTTTACCTCTGTAGAAGAAACTTGACGACTGAAACATCAGTGAGACATTTAACCTGGACTTTCAACGTCATTGTGTGAAAGAATCTCCCATAAACACTCTGGTCTCTACTCACATATCACCAGAATGATTGACAGTTAGGAGGACCAAAAGTCTAGATGAGGAAACAAAATTAGCTTTCTTACTTTTAAGTTCATTAAGATGTATGTGAAGGTCTGTGGCATTATCATTTCACGACATATATAATTACATCGCCACATTATCATTTTTTTTCACCAACAATAACAGTTTTTTCTTTCCAGATGAGCACCTTTTGGACAGTGAGGCTGAATACGTTCATTGGATGGTGTAAGTTTCATGCTGATTGAACATCTGTTGGATCAGGTTGGAATAGCTTCAGTCACTGCTGGACACTTGATACATCACTAAAGCAGAGCTCAGGGAGTTACAGACTCACTCTTCTTCACATTTACTGACCGCTGAATCCTAAAGACCTCATAGAATCACTGCTGTCATTGGATAAACAACAATTACTGAGTCTGTTTTTCTATGTCCTTGTTTATGCTTCACCAACATTATTCAAAACTGCAGATTTGTTAAAGGTTTGCAGGAGGATTTTCCAACAATTTTAGGAAAGAACTGCCCTCCATTTTGATTGACTGTGGTGAGGACCAATAGCCTTCAAGATCCACCCAGAAGTAGAAAATCCTCCAATAAACCTTTAACCCTTGTGCCGTCCTCGACACATTGACTGAGAAGCACCCTAAATAATCTTTTTTTGTGCTGAACCTTTATGATTTTCTTCCTAACTTGACCTGCCCTGTGTCATTTAGACCTAATTTAGGGTTTAAGAGTTTCTACTTTCAATCACTGTGGTGGATATTTTTGACTTGAGGGTAGCACAAGGGTTAAGCTGATATCTTAATAGTATTTAATAAATCCTATTTTTATCATATGATCCTGCAGTATCATCTATGTCTGTATTTCTCATCATGAATACATTTAAAATAACCCCTCCCCTTGGAATAAGCAGCAATAGTGAGATTTGCAGGAGAATAGTTCGACCAATCGGGAAGGGCGTGGATCAAGGATTTGACTTTGACTAACTGGAGCTTGCTTTCAAAAACGTTCTTTCCATCTTCACAATTTACTTTAGAGCAGAGAACTTCATAGTAAGAAGGCCACTTTAGTTCATGAGATAAGATATACTTTAATCGTAGTGCAGGTTTTTTTTTTCCAGTCTTAATGCAGTGACTTAAAGTGACTTGTTGTACAGTCTGACAGCGGTGGGGACCTGGTGCCGACAACCTGGGTTTAAAAACTGGATTGGAGCTGGATTGACTGGATTCTGGAATTTCAAATGGGTTCTGATACGTCCTTATTGATTCACAGCTGCATTTTATTTGGAATGTTGTGACACAATCATAAAACAAATGACAGTAAATAACAATAGAGTGCAGGATTGTATTGGTGAAGCTGAAGTTGGTTGAATGACACTGTCAAAGTACCTGTCTCCTTTGGTCTGTGTTCAGGGGGAACATCCCAGCAGGAGCGGTAAAGTCGGGGGACGAGCTGTGTCACTACCTGCCGCCCTTCCCCCCCAGAGGCACAGGCTTCCACCGCTACATCTACGTCCTCTTCAAACAGAACCGACCCATCGACTTCAGGGAGGACGCACGCCCGGCTCCATGGTAACCACCGCCCACCTGACCTCACATCGGTGCAATAATCAATGTCAGAATGTGCAAAACAGAACCACACGTGTCCACTGTCACCGTGTCCCATTCTGCCAACATTAGAGATTAGGTTTGAGATTTTTACTTCTTCATCCCCTTTGTCTGTTTCTGGGTGGCAATTAGAGCTGTCAGCCATTCCTCATAGCACCAGCCCCTCACTGATGCTGGTGGGGGCTTCAGACAAAGTGGGGTTAAGTGTCTTGCCCAGGGACACAGCAGACATCAGTGAGAGTAGATGGAGCCGCTCTCGTGCGGGGATCAAACCCACAACCATTGACCCCCTGTACTTACTCCTTTTATTATGCTGAAGTGGGGCGACAGTAGTTCAGTTGGTAGAGCATTGGCCTTTGAGCCTGAAGATCGTGACTTTCTCCAATGTTTCCCACTGATGTCTGATGTCGTTGTGTCCTTAGGCAAGACACTTCACCCACATTGCCTAGAATGAGTCTGGTGTGTGTGTGAATGGTTGGTGGTGGTGGGAGGGGCCTAGGCACAGACCGGTTGCCTCGCTTCTGTCAGTGTGCCTCAGGGCAGCTGCGGCCACAGTTGTAGTTTATCACCACTGTGTTTGGAGTGAAAGAATATTGAAATGAGAAGCATCTTTGAGTGTCCAAAAAAAGCGCTGTATAAAACATATTCATTAACATTATTATAGAGAGATTTATTATAGAGATTTTATTTTAGTATAGAGTATTTATTCACTTCCCTTGTGCCGTGTGCTCTTCCTTCCTACTGTCCTGTAACCGCGGATGCAACACTGACATTGTCCTCTGTTCCCAGTCTCTCTCTGGAGCAGCGCACCTTTAAAACAGTGGAGTGGTACAGAAAGCACCAGGATCACATGACCCCGGCAGGACTGGCCTTCTTCCAGAGCCAGTGGGACCCATCCGTCACTCAGACCTTCCACCACACACTGGGTCAGTCACGTCCCAGAGAGAAGGTCACACTGGGCGGGTTCACAGGGAACGACATTGATATTATCGCAATTCTTTATATATCGCGATACAGACAATATCATGATTTGATTCTGTGATTTATCGCGATACATGTTCCATGAAATTATAAAAAAAAAACTATCTGTTACATTTATTATGGGTCTGTCGCAACAAGCTGACATCATAGAGTCACAAAAAGTAGAGATCATAGAGTCACAACAAGCTGACATCATAGTCACAACAAGTAGAGATCATAGAGTAACAACAAGCAGACATCATAGAGTCACAACAAGCAGACATCATAGAGTCACAAAAAGTAGAGATCATAGAGTCACAACAAGCAGACGTCAGAGTCACAAAAAGTAGAGATCATAGAGTCACAACAAGCAGACATCATAGTCACAACAAGCAGACGTCATAGTCACAACAAGCAGACGTCAGAGTCACAACAAGCTGACATCATAGAATCACAACAAGCAGAGATCATAGAGTCACAACAATCAGACATCATAGAGTCACAACAAGCTGACATCATAGAATCACAACAAGCAGAGATCATAGAGTCACAACAAGCAGACATCAGAGTCACAACAAGCTGACATCATAGAATCACAACAAGCAGACGTCATAGAGTCACAACAAGCAGACATCATAGAGTCACAACAAGCAGACGTCATAGAGTCACAACAAGCAGACGTCATAGAGTCACAACAAGCAGACGTCATAGTCACAACAAGCTGACATCATAGAATCACAACAAGCAGAGATCATAGAGTCACAACAAGCAGACATCATAGAGTCACAACAAGCAGACATCATAGAGTCACAACAAGCTGACATCATAGAATCACAACAAGCAGAGATCATAGAGTCACAACAAGCAGACATCAGAGTCACAACAAGCAGAAGTCATAGAGTCACAACAAGCAGACATCATAGTCACAACAAGCAGACATCATAGAGTCACAACAAGCAGACATCATAGAGTCACAACAAGCAGACGTCATAGAGTCACAACAAGCAGACGTCATAGAGTCACAACAAGCAGACGTCATAGAGTCACAACAAGCAGACGTCATAGTCACAACAAGCAGACGTCATAGAGTCACAACAAGCAGACGTCATAGTCACAACAAGCAGAAATCATAGAGTCACAACAAGCAGACATCATAGAGTCACAACAAGCAGACGTCATAGAGTCACAACAAGACATCATAGAATCACAACAAGCAGACATCATAGTCACAACAAGCAGACGTCATAGAGTCACAACAAGCAGACGTCATAGAGTCACAACAAGCAGACGTCATAGAGTCACAAAAAGCAGACGTCATAGTCACAACAAGCCGACATCATAGAATCACAACAAGCAGAGATCATAGAGTCACAACAAGCAGACATCATAGAGTCACAACAAGCTGACATCATAGAATCACAACAAGCAGAGATCATAGAGTCACAACAAGCAGACATCAGAGTCACAACAAGCAGAAGTCATAGAGTCACAACAAGCAGACATCATAGTCACAACAAGCAGACATCATAGTCACAACAAGCAGACATCATAGAGTCACAACAAGCAGACATCATAGAGTCACAAAAAGTAGAGATCATAGAGTCACAACAAGCAGACGTCATAGAGTCACAAAAAGTAGAGATCATAGAGTCACAACAAGCAGACATCATAGTCACAACAAGCAGACGTCATAGAGTCACAACAAGCAGACGTCATAGAGTCACAACAAGCAGACGTCAGAGTCACAACAAGCTGACATCATAGAATCACAACAAGCAGAGATCATAGAGTCACAACAAGCAGACATCATAGAGTCACAACAATCAGACATCATAGAGTCACAACAAGCTGACATCATAGAATCACAACAAGCAGAGATCATAGAGTCACAACAAGCAGACATCAGAGTCACAACAAGCTGACATCATAGAATCACAACAAGCAGACGTCATAGAGTCACAACAAGCAGACATCATAGAGTCACAACAAGCAGACATCATAGTCACAACAAGCAGACGTCATAGAGTCACAACAAGCAGACGTCATAGAGTCACAACAAGCAGACGTCATAGAGTCACAACAAGCAGACGTCATAGTCACAACAAGCTGACATCATAGAATCACAACAAGCAGAGATCATAGAGTCACAACAAGCAGACATCATAGAGTCACAACAAGCTGACATCATAGAATCACAACAAGCAGAGATCATAGAGTCACAACAAGCAGACATCAGAGTCACAACAAGCAGAAGTCATAGAGTCACAACAAGCAGACATCATAGTCACAACAAGCAGACAT